CTTCTTCTTCTTCTTCTTCTTTTTCTTCTTCTTCTTCTTCTTTTTCTTCTTCTTCTTCTTCTTCTTCTTCTTTTTCTTCTTCTTCTCCTCCTCCTCCTCCTCCTCCTCCTCCTCCTCCTCCTCTTCCTCCTCCTCCTTCACCCCCACCACATTGTTCTATAGGCCTGTACCACGCCATGCCATTGTATCATTGTACTGCTCACTTGTACTAAACCTACACCATCTATTTCTACATATATATTATCATATCATTGTACTCTCCACTACAAAATGTACTACCTTGTACATATCATTGTATTTTCCACTATTCATATCAATCTTGTTCTAAATATAGTTCCATATCACCATAATTGATAATACATTGCCCATTAAGTACACACTGTCTTGTTCTATACTGCATGCACCATATTATCACCATATTATCACCATATTATCACCATATTATCACCATATTATTACCATATCATCATTGCACTGTGCAGTAAGCCCATACCACACCATCATTGCCTGCATGAAAAGCCAACCAGTTCAACAACTTTTGGATGCTTACCCCAAAGTTAGCATCATAGTTTGTTTTGGCGTCTGTCTCAGGTGTGATGAGGAGACGCTATGATTGATGCAGAAGAATTCCTGGTTAATTATAATGTATTCTTCTTGTTGTTCTAGACAGCCTTGTGACCTTTTTGAAGACCTAAACTATGTATAAGGGCACTTAGCTACCAGTACTATGTGAGAGAAACAGAGAGAGAGAGGGAGAGAGAGAGAGAGATATAGAGAGAGACAGAGAGAGACAGAGAGTGAGAGATAGAGAGAGAAAGAAAGAGAAAGAGATACAGAGAGAGATAGAGAGACAGAGAGAGAGAGTGAGAGATAGATAGAGAGAGAGAGAGAGACAGAAAGAGAGAGAGAGAGACAGAAAAAGAGAGAGAAAGAGAGAGAAAGAAAGAAAGAGAGAGAGAGAGAGAGAGAGAGAGAGAGAGAGAGAGAGAGAGAGAGAGAGAGACAGAGACAGAGACAGAGACAGAGAGAGAGAGTGTATTTTTATGAGTTCGTGTGTGTATCATGTACGTCTTCACTGCGCTACAGCGGGTTTTTTTGTGGAGATCAACAAATCGTTGTCTTATCTACTCTGAACATATAAGCCCTTTTGATCCACAGAAGATTTGTGCCTTTATTCTTTAGTCCTACCACTTTGTATTGGTTCTTTCTTGCCCAGCAATCGCATGCAGATTCTGGAAGGTGCTCAGTCCAAAGATCTCAGTTACCTGATAGCTCTTGTCGACCTGTTGGCCACGTGTGCAGAGGTACTGTAGCAGCCTCATCATCATCGTCCTCCTCATCATCATCATCATCATCATCAATATTGTTGTCATCATCATCATCATCATCATCATCATCATTGTCGTCGTCGTCGTCGTTGTCATCGTCCTCATCATCATCATCATTGTTGTCATCATCATCATTGTTATCATCATCATCATCATCATCATCATTGTCATCTTCGTCGTTGTCCTCGTCGTCATCATCAATATCATCATCATTGAGATGGTATCAGATCTTTGTGAATGAAGAGCTCAGCCCATGTTGCCGAAGATGCAGCCATGAAAAGGAGGAAGTCAAACATATGTTTGAATGTCCAGGAACAATGGCAATTAGGACGAGAGGAGGTCCCTCTCAGTGTAATGACAATGGAGCCAAAAAGAGCCTCGGTCTTGCTTGAAGTTATCTTTGTGGAGTCCACAAGATCCATTACCGAAACAAAAACAAAAAAGCATCATTATCATCATCATCATTATAGTAAGTCTTCATCTTTGGTGTCATCATCATCAACATTATCATTGTTTTAAAGTAGTAAAAATAACATTTGACAACCTGGATGTGAAGGTTTAAGTAATAAACTATATATACCATGCCATCTATTATTTCACTATTTTTACCAGGGTGAGAACCGCTACATCGAGTCCATCTGTCAGACCATTTTCTCCATCCCGGACATGCTGAGTGTCCTCAATAACCGGGGGATCAACAACAACTTCAAGAGGCCCTTCCTCCGCTTCTTCCTCTGGGTGTACCTCAACACTGCAGGGGGCATGATAGAGAGTGGGGCCGGAGACCTGCCTCATGACAAGTAGGTCATCTGACTGACGTACTTATACACAACATACATACTCACATACATGTGCACAAACACATGCACGCACACACATACACACATGTACAGCAGGGGGCATGATAGAGAGTGGGGCCGGAGACCTGCCTCATGACAAGTAGGTGTTGATCACACTGGTACACACATATACACACTCATACATATACACAGACACACATACACACATACACATAAATACACTTGCACACATATGTACAGGTGAGGGTATGATAGAGAGTGGGGCCGGAGACCTGCCTCATGATAAGTGGGTGTTGATCATTGAAGCACATGCTTGTATACGTATACATACACTTATACACCTACAGACACACACACACACACACACACAC